CACTAAAAACTGAATAATTAATCTATTAGTCTATGTTTTGTTTGATAGAAAATAAGACAAATTGAAGGAATGCTGTTAACAAAAATTTGTGAAATTGCTTAAGAACTTTCTCTCAACTTTTTATTTCTTTTTTTTTTAATTTTCTATTAAACCAACACATCCTTAAGAATGGCACCAATATTTGAATCTATATATATGCATGCTACTATTAAAAATAAGAATGAGCTTGTGGAACTTTTCTTCTTGAGTAAAATACTTGTATTTTAAATTTGATCCCTCTCTAATTATGAGGGCAAAAATGTAATTTGAACTACTTGGTAGAAAATGTAATTTGGTCCCTCTCTAAAAGTAAAATTGAGACCTAAGCATAATTTATTACATATTATTAATATATATTTTTATTAAATCTATGATAATGGAAAAATATGATACTTGGTAGAAATTTGACCAATCATTCCCCATGAATAACTTTCTTGAGAAATTTATCAAGAAAACTTTCCTTATTTTGGGTATTCACTAAATTATATATTGGTTCAATGTAATGCCACCTAAGCTCTTTAGTTTCCATTTAGAAGATTCTTAGTTGTTTTAGAAGCTCACTAAAAACCGAAATAATTAATTTGTTAGTCTATGTTTTGTTTGATAGAAAATAAGACAAATTGAAGGAACGTTGTTAACAAAAATTTGTGAAATTGCTTAAGAACTTTCTCTCAACTTTCTATTTCTTTTTTTTTTTTTTAATTTTCTATTAAACCAACACATCCTTAAGAATGGCACCAATATCTGAATCTATATCTATGCATGCTACTATTAAAAATAAGAATGAGCTTGTGGAACTTTTCTTCTTGAGTAAAATACTTGTATTTTAAATTTGGTCCCTCTCTAATTATGAGGGCAAAAATGTAATTTGAACTATTATTTTCCACTTCATTCAATTCTCACTCATTAAATATTATATTTAAGTTATTAACTCTCATTCTCTCTGATTAAATCCTACATTCAAAGTTTCTCTCACCAATAAATTCTCCTAATAACATCTATATCTAGCACTTTTAACGATATAAAACCCATGCTCCTTTAAAGTTAGCCCCAAAACAAAATTGATCTTATTAAATAATAAAATGGGTCAACCTATGATGTTGTAGTTAAATAATAAAATATGAAAATAAATATAAATATAAAAAATTAGGCACATTTCTAATATTTTATACAACTAAAGAAAAATATATGTGATAAACAAGAATTGTTTTTATTGATGATAGAAATAAAATACAAAATTTAAAACCCACCTAAAAATTAAATTATTTTCTTGTTTGATGGCAAGTCAACACTTAAACCTTTCAAATAAAATGTGCCAGCCCTTGATGTCATAATTTTTAAAAAGGTAATAACAAAAGAATTACAAAAATACAACAATTTTGTAAAAAAATTTGGGCACATCTCTACTATTATATACTCATTGTATTAAATAAAAATAAGTGTGATAAATATGAAATATTTTTCATACACATAAATATAAAAAATGTAAAAAATGGATATTATTATTATTATTATTATCATAACATCATCATTTAAAATTGTCATGTGCAAATCATGAGTGCATTTGCTAGTATAATTTAATTTAGTGAAATCTATTGAGTTTTAGTAAATTTGATATTGAAATGCCTAGTTAAACTAGAAAAACCACAACCAATCAACCTTTTCCTTGTGGTTGATTTCATGTTTCATTTAGTTTTGGTTCATGAAACTACTATTCTAAAGGACATTTTCATCATTTTGTTATTGGTAGTATAAGCAGCAAACCATGGTTCAAAAACCAACAAAATCCCCATTTTTTTAACACTTTGGAAGATAGCTTTTTCAATACAACCACATGATTCAAAAAAAAAAAAAGGGTTGACATAGCCAAGTGATTCTATGTATCTCATGCCATATTCCTATATTGTATAAAATGATTTTTATATTTTATGTGTGACAAAATATATAATTATATATATTTTTAACATATTATATGTATTTTCACATACTATATATTATTTTTAATGTTATATATCTTTTAACGTATTATATTATATTACATTATATTTTTAACATAATATAAATTATTGTTAAGGCATGATAAATAAATGACCATACAATCAAGGTTAAGTGGCGATATAGATGGATTGCTTTTATACATGTGAGTTATACTAAAAAGTTGGCAATGTATTGAATTTAAGAAATGAACCACAAACTAGACATTAGTTATGGTTTTACGTGATTTAGTTTAAAACACACCAAGAATCATATATAATAGAACACATGTGATGGTTCAAAACCAATATTGTCATTTTAAAAAAGAGTTGGTATAGTTATAGATATAACCACTCTTTTTTCAACCTCAAATTGAACACACCATTTAAATTATTGATTAACATGTTTTTCTTAGCATGACTGCATCTAATTAGTTTGAATTTATTGACCACAAAACATTGGTTGCATCTTGTGCACAAGTGACTACTGCAAACTGAGAACATCTCCCCATGAATGACTACCAAATATACAAGAGATGCTCTTGATGTGCGGCTATAGGTAGGGATGGCAATAGGGTGGTGCATTTAATGATGGTTTTGTAAATTCTAGACCCTATTGCCTCCCTAAACCTCCCAATCCATACCCACCCCAAAATCCGTAGTGAGTTGGGTTTTTAGAACCCAAACCCTCCCCACCTTCAAGGATAGGGTGGGTGGGGTTTAGAATCCACATCTAATTTCATATTATTTCTTTTTATATATAATCATTAAGTAAAATAACATGAACAAACAACAAAGTTTCCAATTATTTGATTAATACATGCAACAAATACATAAACTATGAAATATCCTTCACATAAAGTTCAAATATTATTAAATTCAACACTTAATACATAAAGTTCACATGCTTTCCAACAATATGTGGGTCGGGTTCAGCCTAATACCCTACCCTACCTGTACCCATAGGGGTAGTAGAATCCCAAAACTTGTCCTTCAAGCAAAAACAAAAAAAAACCACTCCATAAGGGTGGGTACCCACCAATAGGGTAGAAATTGCCATTCCTGGCTACTTGTAGGATCTGTGGCTAGTAGATTTGAACTTGTATTTTATAACCATTGTGTTGTATGTGCTTGTCAAATTAATTAGCATGTTGGAGGAAACAAGCAAATCATGTTTGCTTATGCCTATTTTGTCTCGAATAGCAACATAATGCAAATGCCAACATTTTTGTGTTGGAGGAAATATAGCAAAATTTGATACGTTGAAAATCCAAGGACTGACTTGGCTAAGTAAGAAGTGAATCACTACATTAATTAAGTTGCATTTTGGCATGTTTTCTTAGAAAAGTTAATGTTGATTTTGCTCAAAAAAGAAGTAAGGTATGGTTGAAACCCACAAATTTTCCCATACTACTCTAGAAGGTGAGGGTATTGAAAAAGTTAGCAAGGATGCAAGTACTTCTTCTTCTTTTAATTTTGGGAATGTTTCGGATAGAACCCACCCCCAAGCCACTTGCCAATCCTCTAAGCTTAGATTACAGGGTGGAGTTGGGATTGCAATTTGAGAGAGACCTTGGTCTCTTTTTTAGAGGTGAAGAAGATGGTGCTTGTGATCTTTTTGGCAACTGGAACAAGACTACCTGATGCCCTCCAAAGAAGTTAACTCGTGGGATGATTTGGTGGATGAAGGAACTCAAGATTCAGGTGTTGTTTGGCAAGTCTTTTTTGAAAGATCTTCTAGAAGATCTAACAGGCAAAAGACATAGTGGGCTTTTACATAAAGATCTTGGCAGCCCATATACCGTTTAGTTAGTGGCATGTCTTTCCATGCATTTTTCTATGCGAAACTAGACAAAAAAAAAATTGAAAAAGCTCAATTTGGAGCTTCCTGAAAATAGCCCAAAATGGGCTTCCCACATCTTTTCGGGGTGGAATATTTCGGTGGTGATATGCCAGGGCCTCAATTTCTCTAGTGGTGTTGATGGGCCTCAGTTTCTCTAGTGGTGCTTATGGGAGCTCGGTTGATGTTGCCAATATAGTTGACAATGATGATGAATTAGTTTACTATATTGGTGTCATCCTCGATTTGGAAAGTCAAAAGAGTTGAGGGATCTCCATTTGGATGCTGGTATGGAAAAGTAAAAGAGGTGGGAAGAATTTAAGAGGGCGAAGAAGAGGCGTAAGGGGAAGAAAGCAATGTTAATTCTTCAAAGTGACACCATTGAAGAGATAATTTTGTCCGGTCATATATTAACAATTTTCTGCACAAGTAGATAAATGATTTACCCAAGTCTCAAGAAGGTATTATTTGCCTAAATAATATTCTACTCGATAATTATTCTTTTCCACTGAACCTATTAATACCGAAATACAAACTAGGTTATTTCTTTTCTATAGGATGTATCAACTTACTCACCTTCATTTATTAAAAAACAAATGAGCTCGTAATTACAAACCTTGTATTTTATATTATTATATATATATATATAAATAAATATATTTATATTATATTTGTATTCATACTCTTTCCAAACAGAGCCTATATGTATCTAGATATTTGTGAGACGGGCTTCAGTCAGTGCAAGTACATGCTTAAACCGTTCGAACAGCCTTTTGCACCCTTGTATTGGGAATATCCCATGATATAAATCATATAAATGCAGAGATATTCCTAGTTCATGACTTTTAAAGGCTGTTTGAACGGTCATTGCACTGACTGAATCTCACTGCTTTCCTTTGCTCTATTCATCTATTGTAATCTGAGGAACATGAATGGATGAAATATGTTTTTTTGTTGGCTTAAAATGCAGACTTTAGATGACGATGACGATAATGATATCTAAGACAAACATTTTTTAATGGATCGATAACATCCGAGCAAGGACTAAACTAACAACAGAGATTTGTATTACCTAAAGTGTTATCCCTGGTATATTGTTTTTCCAGATGTATTGACTATAATGTTTTGGAGTGGTAGGCAGAATTTCTTTCCAAGTAATGGCTTCAGTCACTGCAATGCCAGTTCGAGCAGCCTTTACAGTCTTGTTTCGGAAATATCTCCGCACTTCTGTGCTTTTTATCGAAGATATTCTCCGCACTTCTTTGGTGTTCGAACGGGGGTTTTGCACTGACTGAATCCGGTTACGGTCAAAGTGCATTGCGATTCCATGAAACTTCAATGAATTTCTTCTTCGGCATGTAATATGTAAAATTTCGCGCGAAATAAAAAACAGAGAGAATATTGACAGTCAACTGGAGGAAAAGTTTAGTCAACTCTGAAGACATTCGATACCTTCCCCACGAATCTTCCGATGGCATTTTCAATTTTAACTGTTCAACCGATACCCCTTGTGCGACATTCGCCTCTCTCCTCCCCACTCACCATCAATTCCCCCCGAGGGACAAGCCTAAAGCTCGATCCGAAACCTAGGGGTCTCATGATGGTTCCTATCAAAGCTGTCCGTGTTCCTGAATCAGGGTTTCAGGGAGCTGTTTCAGGAGTTCTTAATATCATCCAAGCGTCGCCACCCACATGGCAATCTGCACTCTTGAGTAACCTCCTCATTTTCGTGCTTGGTTCTCCGCTTCTCGTCACGGGGTTATCGCTTTCAGGAATTGGGGCTGCTTTCTTACTGGGTACCTTGACTTGGCGGGCTTTCGGAGGTTCCGGCTTTTTTCTTGTAGCGATGTACTTCGTCCTTGTAAGAGAAATCTCATCTGGGTTTTCTGTAATTCCTGTATTTGATCCTGGGTTTTCGTTTTTTTTCTTTTCATTTTTGTTCATAGAAGTGTAAAAGTGGAGTTCCTATTGGTCGATTGTAGGATTTTCTTTCATCATCCTTTGAACCCGGGTATTGGGATCTCGCAGGGCACGGCGGCGACAAAAGTGAAAATGGCACAAAAGGAGTCTCAAGGAGTGGCTGAGAAGAGAAAAGGAAGAAGAGGCCCTGGTAGTGTTATTGGATCCAGTGCTGCTGGCTGTGTTTGTGCTGTTCTATCGATATATGGGGGCGGTGGAGCTGCAATTTCACGACTCTTGCAACTGGGGTTTGTGGCGAGCTTCTGTACGAAATTGAGCGATACGGTTTCCAGTGAGATAGGGAAGGCATATGGGAAAACAACGTGAGTAATGGCCCTTTGCTTTCAAGTTTCAACCATGGTCTTCTGAGCTTTCTGTGCATGATCGCTAGTGATTTCATTAGGTTGTATGCCATTAACGCAAGCTTTGAGTTATTCAACATTACAATCTGCTTATCTTTGACTGCCACTTTTATTCCTTTAATTGCTAAGAAATCTGATGGGCTAGGTCCATAGGCCTTCAGGTCCGTTGGTCTAATAGAGATCATTTTATATGTTCGCATTTGCTTTATGTAAGCCCCCAGCCTCCTTGTTAAAACCGGAAGTGGAGAAAGCTTTTAATAATGTCAACTGAAAGTTCTAGGTTTCACTATGGAGAGAAAAGGTTGAAAGATGAAGGTACCGGCTAGCTTAGGACAGAATTGCTTATTGGGTTTCTAGTGTGGAATAATTCCAAGCATCTAAATAGCATCTGTTGTGAGGGATTTCTCTGAGGTTTCAATTGTTGCTTGTTTTGGAAGCCTAGGGTTGAAGATTTTTTTCCTCAAAGGGCTATTTGGTGCCTTTCTTGGGGGTGACTAATTCTAGGTCAGATTTATGCAGGATGAATGATTTAATAAGATCTTGAAGAACAGAATTGCTGTATAAGTTAGACATGAAGAAAGCTTATGATTATGTGGATTTGCGCTTGGCACAATGAGTTTCTGTAAGAGATGGATAAGATGGCTTTAAGGGTGTTTTTCATTCACATGTTTTCCCATCTTAACCCTTTTAGGCCGAAAAGGAGCTGTGACAGGGAAACTTACTGCCTCCATTGTTGTTTATTTTGATGGTAAATGCCCTTAAAGATTAGTGATCCAATGGATGAAGTGGCCAAGTGGGATTCTTAAAAGGATTTAGTAATGGGAGGAGAGGGTGGTAGTATTGCACCTTCTATTTCAAGGCAAGACACTTGCAGTATTTTATCAGGTGCTTTGAATAAATTTCCTCCCTCAAAAATAACTTGGGGTAGAATGGCTTAGTGGATCATTAGTTTTGGAGACAGGAAGTAGAGAACCTTCTAGGATCTTAGGGTCTGAAACATCTTTGAGCTTTAAAATGAGGGTTGAGGGACTTTGAGATCTTTGTTGTTCTCACTCTCTTTGGTCTCTTGGAAAGTGTTTCTCTTGTTTCCTCCTATTATGATTGTAGGATCTGGACTCATGGTTCTTTGGGCCCATTATTTTAAAGCCCTTCCTAAAACTCCTCAACTCGGTTTGTTCTGTTAGTGCTATTTGGCAAGGACCAGTGCTGCCTAAAACTAGAGCTTTGTGTTGAGAAGTTTACACATGGAAATGTAAATATTTCTGAGACTCTTCAAAGGAGAAGGCTTTATTGATCTATGTTACCTCACATACGCCTTTCCACCATGGATCTCTTGTCAGTTTTGGCTAGCTGAGGCTAGTTTCTTAATTGGTTTAGCTCTAGTAGACCATATTCTTCTGGCCACATCTATACTATTATAAAGTGGATACTTGCCTTGGTTTTTGTGCAGTCATAAAAGTTAAATTTGATTGCATAATGTCTTGCACACGTGCATAGCATGTGCCTTACACTAGTGATCTTAAATCTGAAAGGAGCAGGGATTCTTAGAATTCATCTACAGTTAAGAAGCATGGGGTGTTAATTTGACATAGGACGTTGCAAAGATTCTTTGAAACAATGGTAAAATACTCTTCGCAATCAGCTGATACAAGAAATCTGTCAAGCCTGAAAGGGTTGGGTTCTCTTGGTTGTTTGTTCAAGTGAATTTGGCACCTCCGATTGGTTGATTAATCAACTCCCTTTTATTTACAAAATTTGAGAAATTTCTCATGCTTGGAGTGATCCTTGAGCATGGACAGCCCTATTTGTGACTAGTCACTCTTGCCAACTATGATCAGTAGACAGGTTAGCCAGTTTTGATGCATCAAGCAGAGGTGGGGCCATGGGGAGGTGGTGATGGGCATTTGTGGGTAGGACTCTCTACTGTAGCTGGGCTAGCTCTAAAAGAGTCATATAGAGATGCCATACTCAACTTTCTCACTGCCACTAGATGAAGGTGATCCAGGAATGCTGTTTTTGGCTAGCTGTGTGCCTTTCTTAGGAAGGCAGGTATTGAACTTTTTTTTTTTTTATCAGTAAAACAGGTATTGAACTTTATTTTTTCAACAGTGTTCAGTTCTCTTGTTGATTGGGATCAAACTCAGCTTGCATGGTTGAACTGGGGCAGGGGCTCAGCTGTTGAGTTCTCCTCAGCTCCTACCTTTGAGAAATTACCCCTCCCTCCTCAATACCTAGTGGGTGGATAAAAATGGTCATTTACCCTTTTATCTTCCTTTGTCTTTTGGGAGGATCCTGCCTTTCTATTGGACAGATTAGGATGGAAGGCCATGATCTTTTCCATGGCATGTGCATTTCCTTCACCTGCCATGTGGTGCTTTTAGTGGGGTTTCTCACTCTCTCTTGCTCCTCTAGTGACAGAGCTCACCTTGTCTGGTCTTTCATCACCTTGCAGAAATGTTCAGTACCCTTGTATTAGTTTGATCACCATCTCTCCTTTGTTCAAGAGGTCTCCTTCCCATGGCTGCCTATAACCCTTGAACTAGAGATTGTTCAAGAGGGTTTTGGTAGCTTTGAATTACCTCCTCCCATGTTAGTTCCAAGGCCTTAAGAAGTATTGATGGCATTGGACCCACAAAAGGCTGGTAGTCCAGACATAATGGAATTAGGGATGGGAACAAATCAAGCTTTTCACAAACTATTCGAGTTTGGCTTGTGAAAAGCTCGATTTCGCTTGGTCTAAACTGAGCTTTGAGTGGAGCTTGAGCCTGGTATATAGGTTTGTTTGCCTAATATATACATATATAATTTTTATTATATGTATAATAGTATTTTATATATATATACAATATTTTTTATGTATAATAATAAATTATTTTTATAATTCTTATTTTTTGTATGTAAAATAAAAAATAAATTATATATATAATTTTTGTTTTTTATAGGAAGGTTGGCTCACAATCGAGCTCGAGCGGAGCCAAGCTTGAACTTGTGAGCTTTTGAGCTAAGCCGAGTTTGAGCTCAAGTCTCTAGTTTGAATCGAGCTCGAGCTTGAGCCTAACTTTGTTTTGACAAGTCAAGCTCAAATAGTCAGGTATTCGGCTCGGCTCGAATCCACCCCTCATGGTATACATTGGTTGTTCCACCACAACATTCACCCTTGGTAGGACATGACC